CCCCAAAACCCCAAAACCCCAAAACCCCAAAACCCCTAACCATTCATAGTACTTGAAAAGTAAAAATAAATAAAATGCAGAAAAATATGAAAAATTTAAGCCTCCCTGATCTCCTCGATCCAACATCAAAAAGGAAGCGAACAAAACTTTCGTCCAGAAGATCCCTCCCTAAAATACCTCTTACCACCAAAAGAAGGTTTTCCAAGAACCAAGTGCTCAATATAGTATGTTAATGGCAATAAACTTTGCAATAATTGCTTTAATTTGCCAAAAATCCCTCCGATTTCCTCCATTCAAGTTAGATCCTCTTTTAAATAAAATTCTAAGATTTTTATCCAGCTTTCTCAAATTCTATGTAAACAGGGTTATACTAGTTTCTATATGAGATAAATATCTTACCATTAGGACTCAAGGACTATGACACAGAGTGGAATCAGGACTTCTGAGATGTTCAGAACTTCAGGGCGATGCCCAGTATTCATCGAAACTAAAACTCAAAGGACCTTATGCACAAACTCTGTAGTATCCTTTACTGATACAACCGCAGCTTCCACATTAAGGAATAATGTCCAGAAAACAGAGAGGAAGAAGTCTACTGAGAAGTATGAAGAAAATTTATGGAAGAGTGACCATCAAGATTTCGCTGATCAAGAAATCTTTGTTGGAACTGATGCCATTCTTGATTATTACAAATAGATACAGAAAGGTTAGCCAAGACCCTGATAAACACAAAGGATCTCCCTCTGCTGAGCTAATTAGGGAAGCGAATAAACTAAAAATATCTCCTGCTCCTTTTGGCTTAATAAAGAGAAAGGGCAATGCCGATGAGATTAATATCCAACATTACAACATTGGCAATAGCTTTGGCAAAGCTCTTGGCAAGACTATTAAGCATATAAAGCCGAAAGCACTACTTTTAGGAAATAATAAAAATGATATCGGAATAACTTCAATTATCAAAAACCTTACTGATAATCTGGAGAAACTGGATCTTTCAGAAAATAGAATAGGGCTTAAGTCAATGATTGATTTTACTTGCTGGATGAGATCTAAGGCTGTAATTTCCAAGCTGACTCTACGACACCTCAACCTCAGTGGAAACAAGCTTGGCGATGACTCCCTGGGAGTTCTCTGTAAAGGCCTAAAACTCTCAAAGCCTGGTCTTAAAGAACTAAATTTAAGTAGGAATAATATGGGAGATCTTCCATGCTATAATCTCCAAAAATTTATCGAATGAAATTTTGAACTTGAAATTCTTAATCTTTCTTGGAACAGAATAACTGCAAGAGGAGCTACACTAATCTTCCAAGGGTTAAGAGAAGGGAGATCTTGAAGAAATGTCAACATCTCCCATAATATCTTAGGAAAGCAGCACTCATTTGCTCTAATTGAAGCTATTCAATGAGCGGCGAATGAGGATACCCTAAAACATTTGGATCTTAGCTTTAATAGGATCCCAAAAGCTTTATGAGAGAAATTAGGTCAACTAATTATGGACAACCATACTTTATTCGGCCTTCACCTTGAAGGAAACGAATGATATGTGGACAAGTACGGATTTATCTGCGTCGATGATAAATTGTCAGAAATTGAACATGAGAAAAATCATATTGTTTATCCAAGAAATTTGAACGGTTTTTCTACTACTATGAAATTTTCAAAAGCAAAGATGCAAAAGTATCGGCCAACTTCAAATTGATGGGTCTGCGAGGGTTGGACAGAGCAGACCTTTGTTTTTAAGAATAGAGTTTCATATCCAGATGTGGTTGCTCCAGTACACATTCATTTCGAGTATAACTTCTTCAAACCTGAATTTATGAGGCCTGATAATGAAGGAAATTATATCTATACCACAATGTGACCACCTGGTAAAATTAAGTACTTTTTTACAATTGATAAGTATGCTGTTTTCGCAAGAGACCATCCTCACACAGGAAAGCAGAAGGTGACAGAGATCAATAACATCCAGATGTATGATGAAGTTAAGAGCTATCAGCTTCCTTTCTTTAATTTCAGGTTTTGAGATCAGGGAGAAGTACTCAATGATTGATACATGTCATTGCTTAAATATTGATATCCCAGACCAAGACTCATTAAATACAAGAAAAAAGTTCAACACAGGACAATAGAAATGTGGGATGTTGATACCTCCATGTTCTGAGACTTTGTCCCAGACTCGCAGGATTTACTAGACAAGCTCTTTGAATATGATTGGGAGATGGTACAAAAGCCATATGTTAAATCTGAGGAAGAGCTACTATCTATTAAAAGTGAATTAAAAAAGTGGTACTGGACGATCAGAGATGCCTTTAAATATTATTCATCTATCTCTTCATCGAATGGAAGTGCAACATTCGCTTTGACGCTTAATTCATTTACTGATTTCCTTAAGAACAGTGGAGTGTTTAGAAAGGATACAGTTTCGTTTGCTGAAACAGATACCTTGTTTTATTCTCTCACGAAGAGAGACAAACCTACAGCGTTAAACCCAGGGAATTCGATTATTCGCTACCAATTCCTTGAAATTGTCATAAAAATTGGGCTGAAATATAGTAAAAAGAAGAATCCAGGAGATGCTATTAGAGAATTCTGTGATGAAGTTATTCGAAAATCTCTCCCTCAAGGAAAAGCAGAAGATTTTAGAAGAAAAAGATACTGGAATGTTGAATGAGACAACGTCTTTAGACACCATCTGAGCCTTTTTAAGGAAGTCTATGCTAATTATTCTGGGGGTCTGACTAAGCCAGGAGAAGATAAGTTCATGTCGCCAGCAGAATTTGAGAGGATTTTCTCAAATGCAGGTTTGATCAACTCAAATTTTGCTACGAGAGACTGATATGTATCATTTAACTTAGCTATTCAGTCAAAAATAAACGAACATACTTCTGCTTCTCACCTTCGGATGACCTTTGTTGAATTCTTAGAAGGAATTGCTAGGGCTGCTGAAGCTCTCAGTCTCGGTCCTCCCTCGGATAATATTCGAGAAGCTTATAAGCAGTTTCTCAATAATGAGGAAAAGAAAAGCCCCTCCAAACTAAAGGCTAAAGAAGTTGATCTATATCTAGAAGGAGAGGGAGAAGATGGCTTTTTGAAAGATGGAGAAGCAGCTTTCCTATCCAATGATGAGCATATAAATCAACCTCTATACAAGAAAATTGATCACTTGGTTCCCTTTCTTTTGGCTTATTGAACTTCCTTAAGTTTTAAAAGAAAATGGAAATGGCCTCGTAAAAACCCATATACAGGTCTTTACACAGATGTAAAAGATTCTCGAGTAAAGGAACTAAAATCAATAATGGTTCAAGGAATCAACAAGTTGATTATCTCCAGATTTAACTTAAAAGAAATAATCAAAAAGAAGGGCCTTAGCACCAAACTGAGAGGCATGTAAGACTCATAGTCATTACAGTTTTCCTTTCTCTCATTAATACTAAAATTTGAGTTATTCAATTATATTTACAACCTGAGGGGTTTTGGGGTTTTGGGGTTTTGGGG